CCTGGCCTTGAACACCTCCAGGGATAGGGCAGCCACAACTGCTCTGGGCAACCTGTTCCAGTGCCTCACCACCCTCACAGTGAAGAATTTCTTCCTTAGATCTAATCTAAATCTCCCCTCTTTCAGCTTAAAGCCATTACCCCTTGTCCTATCACTACATGCCCTTGTAAGAAGTCCCTCTCCAGCTTTCTTGTAGCCCCTTTAAGTACTGGAAGGCTGCTAGAAGGTCTCCCTGGAGCCTTCTCTCTCCAGGCTGAACAACCCCAACTCTCTCAGCCTGTCTTCAGAGGAGAGGTGTTCCAGTCCTCGCATCATCTTTGTGGCCCTCCTCTGGACTTGCTCCAACAGCTCCATGTCCTCCTTACGTTGGGAGACCCAGAGCTGAATTCAGTACTGCAGGTGGGGTCTCACAAGAGCAGAGTAGAGGGGCAGAATCCCCTCCCTTCACCTGATGGCCGCACTTCTTTGGATGAAACCCAAGATACAGTTGGCTTTCTGGGCTGCCAGCGCACATTGCCGGCTCATGTTGAGCTTCTCATCAACATCATAGAACTCACAATCACGGAGCCAATGACTCCCTGTAGTTGTGACATCTGTGGTATGAGTTCCTCCTGGCCTCAGCCAGGCAGAGTGTAGGTACAACCCCAGAGAGGCTGAGAGGTAAATCATGGCAAAGATGGGGGCCAGCCTGGCTCCAAGAGATCCTGTAGCCAACACCCTGACTGGGCATCCCACTCGGGGTGTGGGCTCAGGCATCACCCATCTGCCACATGTTTGTCTCCAAACTCAGCTGCCTGGGTGACTTTGGAAATGTGCATCCAAGTGCTTTAACACCCACAGCTCGGAGCTGGGCATAGGACACCTTGCCCCCAACCTGGCTGTCCAGACTACAAGGGCACTAATGGCCTTAATTGCCCTGACCAGCCCCACCTGCCCCTCAGCCCAGGGCTACATTTAAGCTCAGCCCCAGGCCCCCTTTCCCCTGGGCAGTGTCAGAGGCGTGCCTGGCTCCGGCTCCAGCTCCTGCATGGACTTTGGCCCTGCACTGCGCTCCTGTCTCCTGCTGTTCTGGGATCACGCAGCAAGCCCGCGGCTGCGTTTCAGCGCGTGAGTGCAGTGACCGAAAGACAGTCTGCTAGAAACCGTGCCTCCTGGGAGAGCTGGGCTTGGCTGTTTACCGGTTTGTAACGGAAATTGAATGGAAAAAGTACACCTTAAAATTTCAGAGTATGATCTGCTCGAATGACACCTGCATGGCCTTGGGCTGATTAGAGCCCCCTCAGATGCACCCATGCAGGGGTGCCATGCCTGAGGGGTGGAGCGCTGCCCCTTCCCACTGCCTGGCATTGATGTGTCCACTGACCCACCTCTGCCTTGCAGGGGGTGGGGGAGGAAACAACAGTGGTCGCAGAGGATGAGGGTACTTTATGCCTTCATAGGCTGCCAGAATTTTGCTTTTTTTCACAGAGGACTCAGGGAGGAGGCTCTGTTATTAGCATAGAGGTACCTCACCTCAGTTTGGGGATAGCCCAGAGTCCAACTGCCCCATCTCCCAGCAGCGGGGGTGCAGCCTTCAGATCTCCGAGGGACTGCAGCCTTGCTGGGCTATGCCAGTTGCCCTCAGGGCCAGAGAGTGTGCCAGGGCCATTCCTTCACTAGCAGGGATGTCACTGGGGTATCCCGAGTCAGTGCCTGCCAGCCCCATGGCTGCTTTGAAAAGCCCATTTGAGGCCGAGGTGCTGTTTGCAGGGTGCGTCACCCGCTGTCTGAGCACCCCCGGCATGGAGGGGTGCGGGTGGCGGCTAGGGGTGGGCGAGAGGTGCCAGTGGTTCTCACGGCTCTGGGGCTGGGAAGAGCAGTGGGGCCATGGAACCGCAGGGGAAACCCCTGCCGCATCGCACTCGCTGCCAAGCCAGTGGGAACATGGCTATTCTTTTCTTATTAATCTTCAGTAATAAAGTCAGTGTTGAAATCTCCGGGGGAGCTCGGATCTGTGGGATCAGGCAGTGTGTGTGAATGCCATCCAGGACACCCAGCAACCCTGCGCACTCTCCTCCCAGCTGCAGCTAGAGCCGCGCGCAGACAGCCGCTCCGGGCACGCTGGGGCATGGCTCCAGCTCTGTATGTCTCCTGCTGCTCAGAGGAGCCTGGAGCTTTGCCCACGGAGGAACTAGATCAGTCCCCTAAAAGACATTTACCTACTTTACCTCTTTCAGCCCTGGGTGGGCAAATGCCCCGCTCCTGCGGCTCTGCCGTGGTTCAGTGACTGATGCTCTACTGTCCCTTCCACAGCCCTGGGAGAGGATTTAATGCAGAAAGCAAGTGGGGAAAATTGAGGTCCAAAATGAGTGATGAGACTCCGTGTCAGAGGATGGTAAGGAAGCTATGCCATGTGCCAGCATTGCAGGTGTGTGTTTTAGCAGAGACTTATCCAAAACACTGAAAAAAGAAACCCTACACCATTGAGCAGAAACGAGGATTACACAGAAATAGCTTGTATGTTCCGCAGACCTTTGTCCAGTAAGAAATGTCCGGTTTGTGCGTGTCAAGGCTTTAGAGTGCTAAGAAAATATTTCCAATAAGAAACTACCCAGACCTTCCTTTTCTTCCCACGACAGCTTAATTTCTTTAAGAGCTCTTCTGGGAGAGCTTTTTGGAGCCCCGAGTGCACTCTGAGGACCAGACTGTCTCCTGCATGCAATGGCTGGCTTCCTCCGAGAGTGCTCCAGATTTGTGCCTTCCAACTGCCCCCTCAACAGCCACGTGGCATCTCCCATTGCACCAGATTTATCCTGGGCCCTGTTATTTCAAGACTTTATTATCCTTTCTAACAAGTTGCCTTTTATAGAAGGCAGCCTCGCTGCTTTGCAGTTTCCTGGTTCCCACTGGAACTTTTTAAAAATTAGCATCATATTTAACAACATTGACTTTCTGGTAGAGGGATCACTCTAATTCTCACCCAGGCAAGTATCTGGCAGTCCCTCTGAGTGCTCCTCCTGGCAGATTTTTAACCATGTGTTCTAAAAATGGAGTTTAAAATATTTTTTTTTTCCCCTCAGTGCTTTGGGACAATCATCAAACACGAGTCCCATAAGCAATGAGCTTAGCGAGCTCCTTCACAGCAAGGGCCAACGCAAGTAACTCACCAAGCCTTTCTGTGATGGCTCCTTCCTTCTTACGGAGCCTGACCCCATCCTGTCCCTGGGGCTCTGGAGAACTTTCTGCTTCTTGCGGAGTCATAATTAATTTTTATATCTTTAGGATGCTTTCTTCAAATCTTCTGTTGCTTGCCTTTCACCTCTGACTTTCCGAAGTTTGCATCCTTTTTTTATTCTCTCAGCTGTATGCAATTTTCACTTGTTTTAAGGTCTTACCACTTCATTTCCATTCCCCTGTATAAGCACATCACCTTTTTTTAAAAATCGCTTTGAGCATTGATGTGCATTTACACCTATGTAATCCCACGCTGCACGCTTAAAACAGCTTTTGTGCTGCATGAACCCAGCACTTCTCAGATACTTGTGTGATGCTCCTGACCAGCCTACCTCTTCTCTCCCTTCTGACATTAAATATTATTCTAAAGGTATGACTTTTGCTCTCACCTGGATAGTCTAATTGGGAATTATGGCTCTATGACCCCTCATTTGTTACCTTTTAACTAAGCCCCAGGGACAGCTGAGATGTTGCTCAGGTACAGCCCTTCCTTTGCTCCCCATTAATGCACAGTGTTGGGTTACACCATCCCACTGCCTCCACCAAGCTTCTGAGGTCCAGCCCAATGATTAAAGTGCTTGCATGCAGGAAGGAGATGAGGGATCCAGGCTCCCTCTGCTCGCCACATCCAAGTCACTGACATAGGAGCCATGGATGAGGTCAAAGAGAAGAAAACCCTGGAAAGCAGCATTACCCGGAGCACTGGGACCCTGGCCAGCTGGGAATTCAGGAGTCACGTAAGTCCCGTGTCCCAGCTGTGGAGCCGCTGAGTTCCTCGACCCTGAGCACAAGGCCTGAGAACAGCCAGGACGGTGGCTGGGACAGAGCACTGCTCCTCGTGCCTGCTCCATGCCTGCAGCAGGGAACTGCTCCGCTGCTGGCACCTAGGCAGTGCGGGACAGGGGCATGCCCACCCCAAGATGTGCACGGGGGTGGCCTCACCTCTTGCACATACAGAGCACCCTTGGGAACACGGGGCTGAGCTCCGGTTCGCCTGCGTCCATCAGGAAAGCCCCGAGGAGCCAGCGGTGACAGGCGTTTTCAAGTCAACGCAAGTATTTATGTGGCATTTATGCTACTACAGGTACTGAAGTCACAGCCTGGGTCTGAGCAGCAGCACCCCTGTAGCAGCCGCTCCGCACCCAGAGCAGATGGGTGAGGAGGACAGGCATACGTTGTGCATTTGCAGAGACCTGCTGTGGGCAGAGCCAGTGCCCCAGGCATATCAGCCACTGCTGCTGAGCATCCAGGAGCTCCACCATCCCTGCCGAGCATCCAGGAGCTCTGCCATCCCAGCAGCGCTGGTGCCACCGCATGCTGCATGGGCAGCTGCTCACTGTCTTGGTGCTCCTATGTCCATCTGTAGCATGGCCACTTGCCCATGTGCATTGTTTGAAGTATCACCAAAGACATGATCTGTGAACAGATGTGGTTGGGGTGGTGATGTGCAAGCGGCAGGCACAACTGCAACACAAAGCTGGCACAAACAGAGCAGTTACAGGGTTTTATTTAAGGCTTGAATTCAAGAAATTGCCTGGATGACACCATTTTTTATCTGGATTTGCATGCTGGATCCAGGCAGCAGAGCACATTGTTTCTTCTCGCCCACCAGCCAGCACCCACAGTTTTGATCACTTGACAGAATTAGCTGCCACGCAAAGAACCACGCCTCTACCTCCATGTCAGCCGTGCGAGCACCCCGCTCCTCTCCCACGTGTGTGTTCATCATCAGCCCAGAAGAGCCTCTGAACCATGAATTGAGGTCTTTTCTGCCCATCCCTGTTGCTCTACGTGCCCTTCTGAGGCGCTGCCTTTCCCAGCTCATGGATGGTCCCGTTCTCCAGCACCTCCACCTTCCCCTCGCCTGGCTGCAGCACGCTGGCCACCATAGCCCTGGCCACTGTCTCCACAGGCACCGAGTAAGCGGTGGGGAAGACCTGAGCCACCATGCCCAGAAACTGCTGGCCCACCCACTCCGCGGGCCGTGACTCCTGGCGTTTGCACAGCAGCACCCTGCAGAATGGGGAGGTAAGGTGGGTCAGGTGGAAACCATTCTCTGGAGAAAAGCTAGAGACTGGCTTCTCCAGACGTGCCAGGGGTTCAGTCCAGCTTGTTAACCCCCCAACATGGGGGTCGTGGGCCTTGGGCAGGGTCCCAAAAAGTGACTGAGCTGAACCCTGTGACACTAAACTCCTTTCCGCAGAGTGCTGCCAAAGACAGGATGGCGGTTCTCCCCGGCAGCAAGAGCACACTATGGCTCAGCTGAAAGGACACAGGTGAGCACCCCCACCCCCACAAACAGTCAAGGTCTCCGGAGATAAGCGCTGACCTATGTCCCCCAACCTCAGCTCTCAACCCAAGCCTTTTCTCCTTGCATGGCACGTGACACTGGCATTGGGACGGGCTGTGGGAAACCGCTGTGCTTGCTCCCTGCAGCACTGGGAAGCGGTGTGCTTGGACTGGACCTGCGTTTTCACCTGCTGGCTTCCTCCACTTCCTTCCCCAGCCCTTCCCTTATGCATCCTTTCTCCATCTCCCTGCCCGCTGCACTGGCAACTTTCCACCCGAGTTCTGTGCCCGCCCTCCCTCCACCACTACTCACGCTGGCCGGAGAATGGTGCAGCGATCAAAACCAACAGCCTTCACCAGGTTCTCCACTTCTCCCTGTCAGAGCAGTCGGGCAGGATGAAAGGAAACAAGGATGACTGCAAGCACCATCCCTGCCGCCCCGTGAACTCGCAGGAGAGAGCTGCTGAGCCGCGGGCAGGACAGCACTGATGCCAACGCAAAGCTGGTACAAGCCAGGCACCGCCTGGGCAGCGAGCAGCTCTCCAGGAGAAGGTGATGTGGGGGTGTGCGTCCACGGTGGACACGTTGACCGTTAGTCAGCAGCGCACCCTTGCAACCATCACGCTAACTGCAACCGGACGCTCCTGAGACAGCATCTGGACAGCATGTCCAGCCTGGGGGTCCCAGCACAAGACCCTGGCGGACAGCAGTGAGTCCCGCAGGTATTGGGGTGCTGCAGCACATGATATACGGGGAAGAAAACTTTTGCAACAGGTATGGTGTCACCCAGGGAGCCTGTGGGCTCTCTACCCCTGGACCGTTCACCAGGACACAGGCCTGAGCCTCCCCACCCCAGCTTGGGGTCAGGGAGCCAGGGCTGGGCTGAAGACCCCAGCGGGTCTTTCTGCAGTCTGAAACGGGAGACGGCCACCACATGCAGGTGTTGTCATGCTTCGGACGAAGCTAGTCACGCAGCTGCCCAGCCAGCCCCCTTCCCTTGTCCCCCAGCACCAGGAGGACCCCTAGAGCCATTTGCATCTCTTGAGACCTCCCGAGCATCCCAGCATTTTGTGACTCCCGCACGAGCACCAGGAGCCCACCCCAGCTGCCCGCTCACCTTCACGCGGAGGTAGAGGAAGGTGCTGTGCTGGTTTGCCCCCCGGGAGGACTGCAGGACAAAGTGTTTGCACCCCCCCGCCCGCGCCAGCTCCGCTGCCTGCGCGACGTAGTCCCGGTCCACGCGAACGAAGCCGGCCTGCAGGTAACGGGGAGAGGAGGGTCAGCACGGCAGGGAGAGGGCAGGCAGGACCCCCGCCCCCCCCGGGGGTCCCACTCACCGCGCCAGCCTTGGCCCTGGTG